TCCCTCCTAAAGTCCTTAGATTTCAAGTGTCCAGATGCTTTACCACCCTTTGGGACCTTGACGGCATATAGGGTCTTTGACTCTGGCCTGCGGGTCCAGATGAAGGCTCTGCTAATGTCCATTGCGCCGTCATTCCAAGTTCTTGGAGCTGACACTGCCAACTAGCACTTTTTAGGGTTCAGGGTTTAGGGTTTAGTTTTAAGGGATCTTCAAGGGTTTGTGCATGATTTGGAGGAGCCTCGTTTAGGTTTCGTTCCGTTGCCACTGGAAGTTCAGTTTAGCATGTCATGACACAGCACAACGCTACTCCTTCACAACACAGCTCAAAGGAATGCCTGCTCTGCTGATCCTGCTGCACTGCCTATTCTGGCAAACTTAATGTTGCCTTTCAGTCTTAGGTGTTCAGCTTACGCCTCAGCTAACTATTTCCAAAATGCAGCGGCCACATGACTGCATCTGCCATTTTCATGATGTCTCATCATATTGCATCATGACAGTCCAAAAGCGTCGAACGAGGATAGTCATCCTGACCCCCCGCGATCCCAGCAACTGCCGACACGTTTGAAATGGCAAGAGAGTCCTAGGGTCCAAAAATGCCGACAGCTACGAGGATCACGACCCTGACCTCTGCAATCGCTGTGACTGTCGACACCTTCATATTGCCTAGCGAGTCCGCGGGTTCAAAAATGACGACAGTCGCGAATGATCACGACCCTGACCTTTGCGATCCCTCTGAGTGTCGACACACTTGAAAGGACGAGAGGATCCGAGGTTCCAAAAGCGACGATGGTTGCCAAGATTGCGGCTCTGACCTCCTCCATCCTTGTGACTGTCAACACTTGGCTAGATTATGCTATTATTTTTCCCTAAACCCGTAACCCTAGAATCTAGAACCCAGAACCCATTATTTAGGTAACTGAGGGTAGATTATGCTTTCATATGTTCTTGTCGATCTTCCAAGTTTAGGTTGCTTTCGATGGGCCAATCCTGCTTCAGTTGTTCGCACTAAGGACGCGCTGCATCACGCCTGGAAGCTGCGCTTGCTTATGAGTTTTGAGGTTTGGGAGCTCGGATGTATGGTCCACCTTGAGTATATAGGTAGAATATGGCTTTGGGTATATTATAATAAGATCCCTACATACCCCATATTCTAGCTACTTAAGGGGGACTATAATGTTGCTTATTCTATCTACTTAAGGGAGACTATAGGTGTTGGCCCAGGGTTTTGCGTTGTGGATTTGAGGTTTGGAGTTCGTTTCCTTCGACGCAGCTAGGTACTGTAGAGATTGCAGGATGATGTCCGCAAGGAAAGTCTACATACCACTATGGGCTATTAGACCCTAAAATTCCCTATTAGGACCCTATTTAGGGTAGATTAAGGTACCCTTAAGGTCTAATAGCCCATAGTGGTAGTGTGCTGTAGTGATTAAGGGGCTGTGAAGCCATTGAAGCTTGAGCTGCAAGTTCAATTTCATGGACAACGTCTCTGCCGGGCATGAGTGAGTTATCCTCTTAACCCATAATAAACTCCTCACCACCCTAATACTAAACCCCTCCATATAGTACCATATATATATATATAGATAGAGAGATATTAGGGGTAATCCTCTGCCTCGCCTCAAGTCGCAGGGGCACACCTCAGCCCATATATATATATATATATTTGTATACACCAGTTTCCCCAGGAAAGGGGTTCGAACCTGGACATGCAAAATTGGGGGAGTCCAGGAGACCCAATCGTGGATTGTATCGGGCCGGTTTTGAAGAATCCTCATGCACTCCCCGCAAAAGCTGCACCGAATTTCAGAAACCCCTCCAAGGGAGGTTTGAATCCCCATGAAAAAAGCCAGGCTGCTTTGGCAAGAAGCGATTGCTGCGAGATTCCTCAATGCCTTTGCCCAGGAAAAACGGCTTTCTTGTGCAAATCAGATAGACGGGTAATGCAAGGCGCGCATACAATCCCAAACAAGCAAGGAGCCTACATAGACCTCTTTGGAAGGGTAGGCTTCATGGAGCCTGCTTCAAGATGCATCTCTATAGCAGCCTTAGTTATCGCCTTTCTTAGCCTTCTTTCTAATTCCCCCTGGGCCTCCGAGCATAAGCCTTACTGAGTCCAGCTGACCCTCTAAGCATAAGCCTTGAACCCTACTCTGCAAACCTTGAGCCCTAAATCCTGAACCCTAAATCCAAAACCTTAAGCACTAAATCCTAAACCCTAGATCGGAAACCCTCGACCTACTGCTTCCTTGAGGAACAACTTCACCTGCTTAGACTGGATCTTCAACCTCTCGCACATCCCCTTCATGCTGGCGGTCTGAGGCACTTTGCTGTTACGTGTCTCCGCATGGTAGTACCGAAGGCTTTTTGAGCTGCATGTGGAAGGCAGGATCCCCGCACGGAATTTAGGAGTTTAGGCATAGGGTCCAGATGGGTATATGTAATAATCAATATGGTTTCCTCATTAACTTAGTATAAGTTCCTTAACAGAAACCCAGTTTAGTCAGGCAGGATTGGACAAGATGAAATCTTGCATTCACATGTGCTTCTGCAGTCAACAGGCGTCTTTCATCGATGTCTGAGCTGCGTGAAGACCCTGTGGCGCTAGCAGCTTTTTCTCACTTATCCGAGCACCCTTTAGTTGACATTTGAACAGATGCTGTTGGCTTGCTTCGCTTATGGCAGCAAAGGACATCTCACGGCTCAGGGTTTAGGCAATGCCCTCGATGCCCATGCTTCACATTTAGCAATCTCCTTGTAGTACTGGCCCCATATTTGAAAAAGGTATGTTCAACATCCTCCAAGCCCTCTTCAGTAGTTATGTCTGAGGCTAGGGTCAAATTGTCTGGGACGTGCTGAGGGATGCAGGGGTTGGGTGGTTTCAGGGCTTTGGGTGAAAGATATCAATTCTGGATACCTGTAGATAGTCTTTGAGCCTCTCTAGCGGATTTGGTGCGCATGTTTATTTTTGAGGAGTATATGAGGTCCCTGTACCGTCAAGCCGCGGCAAGATGCTTACATAAGTGCTGAATTTCTCGTCAAGCGAACAAGCTAGGCATGGCGTTGTCTTACGGCATAGGTTTCAGGGTGTAGAGGTCGCACTATTTTGGACTAAGGCTTTTCAAGGCTAACTCCATTACCTGTTTTGGGATGGCTTGAGGATTGTAAAGGCCAATATCGGGCTTGGTTGTGGGTAGTTTGTGCTGTGGTCTGGCGTTTGCATGCACCAGGCATGGTAATGGTCCTGCTCGTTTTGGTACTTGTGATTGTAGAAGTGTACAGGAATAGCGATTGGGGTACATGATTCTCAGGTACTTGGACCATTTGGGCTCCCGCATGCTGACAGTCTGCGGTTCGTGGTGATTAAGATTTGCCTAGCAATCAGGTAATGTAGAGCCCTGCAGGATTACTGTATGTACTGCACTTCCCCTTGTCATGTATATGTATATATATATATACACGCACACACACACACATATATATATATATGTGTATATATATATATAGCGTAGTAATCGCTTCCCCCTAGTAATGCCCCCTGCCCACTGAACATGTTTAGGGGAACCCCAAATTTTGAGAAATGTCACCCAAGACCACCTTTACAGGGTGCAGGAGCACTTTTCAAAGGGGTCCATGAGGGATGTAACCGAGAGGTTCTAAAGAAATTGGGGAGGTTTAGAAGGTGTTAGAAGGGATTAGGGATTTCCTAGCCAGCCTGGGAGATCATCATTTTCATGTGTTATGTTTTTCGCATCAGAGATTACATGAAAAATCTAAGGGAAACTTATTTGGGATTAGGGATATACTAGGTTTCCTACAGAGCGGCTTATGTAATCAGTAAATAACACCTAAGTCTTTTAGATCGCAAAACCTGGACGATAGGAATTGCAAAATTACGCATGTACATGCATTCTTGCGAGAGGCATGATACTGTAGAAGCCGAAACGTTTCCCCAAATTATCCCTTTCTATTCCAGATATAACACTTCTCTGATACCCCCAAACTCAATTCTAATGAAACGCCATTGGTTCTTGTATTCATCCCTGTATAGACACCTATGTGTCGCAGTTTCCTTTCATGTTCCATGTTGTTGCCCATTTGGTTCTCAATCGTAGTAGTGTAGCATTCTCCGTGCCTGCCTGGGGATTGTAGCAGCATGGAGGCTTCGGGCTGGGGAAGCTGGGGATAAACAGGGATGAAAAGGTTGTAAGGACAGGGGTCCGAAGAGGACTACATGGAGATGATTTGCGAAAAGTCTGGCATGGCTCTGGTTCCAGACAGTCTTATGAGTATAGATGGTCAGCGTGAAGCGCTTCTGGGATTGAATGCTCTCCCATTTACAACAAGACCTCCAAGCCTTCATTATAGCTATTCGTTTAGCACTGGTTAGTATATAGGGGACTGATTATTATTGGGGGGCCTACGAAACAGACCTCAACGAAACATCGCGCAATGTTTGGAAGGCATTCGGCCATAAACCCTGGATCATCAACAGCCATGGAACTCCTGAACCTCCCTCCAGCTGTTGCGAATTGGTGGCTGCCAGAAGCTTCATTTCAGGCTTACCATCCCCAACAAACATGAAAGGCGTGAAAGGGCAGTAATCTGCCAGGGGTCACCTTGTCAAGTTCCATTTTACTCTAGGAGCGGGTAGCTTGAAGCCTTCAGGTTGTCAGGATCTGGCAGAAGCGACCCTCAGTTCGTATAGTACATTGCACTTTACAAGACCACCTTCTCTTCGGAGGTAGTACAAGGGCGTAGCTAGCTGGAACAGAGTCTTTGGGTGTGTTATAGTTTGTGTACGAAGGGGTGAAAAGGAGAAAATATGTTTTTATCCTCCTACAGTATGTCTGGAGTGATATACCTTCTGTTTAACTTTGATCCCTGTCCAGTTATTCTGCCAGCACCTTCACTGTGACTGCCCTAAACGCTAAATTATGGTATGTCCGGAGCCATAAGGATTCTGATTTGGGCTTTACCTAGCATGGCAAGGAAGGGGAGCTTCCCTTGATTCCAGATGTACTCTCACCCCCAAACCTCTCCGCTCCTCCGGGTCTCAGGAAGTACAAGTATTGTTCACTCGCAACCCCATTATATGCAACATGTACTACACCCCCAAACCCGAGTCTAATTCGAAAAATGAAGCAATGGTAGCGATTTATAAGCCTAGGTCAAAGATGGGGTGCTGATTCTTGGTTGGCCCTAACACATGAATCGTCCGAGCATGTATGAGGGTGCTTTAAGACTACGATCCTTAAAAGGGCGTAGGTACAATCCTTGCGTCCTTTCTATAGATCCCTACGTTGGGTATCAACAATCCTGCGTGGCCCTCGGTACCTCATGCCCCCAAAAAATCAGCATATCGAGGTCATGCAAGATTTTGAGCTTCAACACAAGGATCCCCAAAGACTTCATCTCGAGAAAGTCGCATCACCAGGACCTTCCTATAGGAGCGCCGAGTTGCAGCCACCAACTCATCGCTTCTAATATTATGAACCCCTAATAGCAAATATTTCCCCACAATATAGTAGGTGTTGTAAGGTGTATTTAATTTCTGGGGTCCCCTAAGATGGCTCCTGGGCCCCGTGCCGAGAACTGTTACTACCTCACCATGGCTAAATAAACGTGCGCGAACCAGGTCTGGAACTTAGGCATCATTGGTCGCCCATTCTTTTGAGTCGGACCGGATAACCTCCCACCTCAGGAAATCTGACTTTCAAACGACTGTTACGTGCCCCTTGTTTAGTAGTTAGGGCCTTATGGGCTTTGCATTCAGGTGCTACGCATGGCATCGGCTTCTCGCCCCCCGTATGCATGCGGTTTAGGGTTCAGGGTTTTAGGGTTTATGGAATGTGGGTATTTGACGAAATAAGCTCCTAAACCCTAAACCTTGAACCCTAAACCCTGAACCCTAAACCCTGAACCCTAAACCCAGATACCAAACCCTAAACTTAGAATTCATGAGGACCCTATCACCTCTTGGACTCGCCATTTTTCCCTGAAGTCTCTGAGGACCCCCTGTTTGAGAACCCCCATGTAAAGCCTCAAGGCTAACCCCCATACCTGGTTTAGGGTTTAGAGTGCTTAAGGAGCTTACATTCAATGATCACAGTAAGAGAGCCGTCTCACTTGTTGTATCTCATTATGTACCCATTTCATGGCAACTTGCCTAAGAGCCCTTACTCCCTTTATGCAGCATAGACCCATATTGGAGCAACTTAGTTTAACATTCCTTGACAACAGATCTGTACACATATATATATATATATGCACACCTATAACCCTAGCTATAACCCTAGCTTCCATATCAGTTGCATGCTCGTTTTCCATGTGATTCTCCTCGAAGAGGCTCCTACACCCTAAACCAAATTGTCATGGCGTTTCCTATTTATGTTCAACCTGATTCTCCATTAATTTCGTTCCTTAAGCCCTGAAAATAAAACAGTATCCCTATCATAGCCTTGTATATATACATACATATTTCCATCTTGGTAGTTGTCAAAATTATGACCCTTCGGGAGAACCGTGCAAAATTACATGTATAGTCCAGCACCCTAGCCTTCGGACCCAAGGCTTGAATCCTACATCGCTTAACCCCTAAACCCTCAAACTGCCACACCCCTAAACCCCCAAACCACTTAACCCCTAAACCCCTATAACCCCTAAACCTCTAAACCCCCTAACCCCCTAACCCCCTAAACCCCCCTAAACCCCTCTAAAGCCGAGGTGCAAGGACCTATCTGCCAGCTGCCAGGGCCTTGTATTCACGGGTTAGGGCCTGCTGCCATCTGGGGTTTAGGGTTTAGGGTTTAGGGCCCAAAATTAGAGGTACATTTTTGGGGGGGTCCCTGCAATGAGGATTATGGTATTTGGGATCTATGTTGGGGTCCTGCGATATAGCGAAACAGCCATCTGGGTGTAGGGTTGAGGCTAGACGACTTACTAGTGCCAGTACAAGTACTATCACAAATATTACTCCCTGCCCTATTACCATTCTTATGACGACTTTTGCTGCTGCTATCAACTAGCTACTACTATTGGTAGTGCTACCGGACCTTTCTCATGGAATGGGCTTACTACACAGCTGAAGACCTTCGACAAGCCAAGCACGCCAGCCTAATATGCCTGGCATAAGACCGGGTTGCTGTTCGTGGGATTTTCACTTCGCTACCGCAGGATGGATAGATATGAAGCAGTGATAACTAACACCCAGTAGTTCAGGAAGCTAAAGTTGATGTTAAGCTTTAATGATATGAGTTTCCTAAAACTCAAACTTGAACTTTGTGGGCTTAGGGCATTACAAAACCGAGGACAAAACCCT